TGAACAGAAGGCAAGAACCCTCCGATTTTTGGGTACCTGGATTGGCAGTGCCTGGCACATGGACTACGGAATGCCTTTATAATCTGAAAACCACACTGCAGCTCCATCAGGACACAGTCTGGGAGGCTGACTCGATCCCCTCCCCTTCATGCTGCCTGTCTCTAGCACCTGCACTCACAGTTTCTTTCAGGCCTTCCCCGAGTTCCAGAGTCAGGACCACACATTCTTGTGCCTCTAAGGAAACTAACACGCAACACCAAAGAAAGCAACAGGAGCTGCTCCTTGAGGCCATGAGTGACTCCCTGCAGGCAATGGCTGTGGGCCTCAGCCCTGAGAGCCCCCGCCCCAACCAGCATGCTGGGCACTCCCAGCGCTCAGCCTGGAGGCTCCACAGACTGAGAATGTTCCCAGCAGCTTTGACTCTGAAGTATCAAATGACTTCTGACGGAAGACCTGTGTGGTGGGAAGGACCCAGCCATCACTTTATCCAAGGCCCTGACTACAGATGAAAACACAAGGGGTAAGCAGCTTGTCCGAGGGGCGAAACGAGAAATAGGTCCAGCCTCCCAGCAGGCTGTGTTCACCACCCTCTACTTAGGACATGGGTCTCTCTCCCACTCCGTGTGAGCTCGAGGGAAGAGCAGCATCTCAGGCACCTCTGTGTCTGGCATGAGGTGGGAAAGGAAGGACTCACAAAAAGGAGGTTAAGCTTGGAGGAATCCCAGGATCCACGCAGCGTGCCTGGGTATGAAGCCACGAGTGAGCCCCCAGGTTAAGAAACATTAACCATTTTCCCCTCGATGCACACACAAACACCCACCCATCTCTCCAGTCCCACCCAGAGGTGCTCTCTGGCTTGCACCTCTGCGGTCCTGCCCCAGAGCCTGACAGCTGTCTGAGATGCCCTTTCTCTCAAAGCTTTGTACTCATTCTCCAGACCTCAGCTCCACCAGCCCTTCCCCAGCACACGCTTCCTCGGCACAGAATCCAGTGCGCAGTAACTACGCAAGAGAATGAAGGGAAATCGGTGAATGCACTATGACATGTGCAACCTAAAATGTGCAGAAATCAAAAACACAAAGTGCAAGGATTTAAAACACATGTTGGGGCCGGACACGGTGGCTCATGCCTGTAATCCCAGCACCTTCAGAGGCCGAGGCAGACAGATCACTTGAGGTCAGGAGTTTGAGACCAGCCTGGCCAACGTGATGAAACCCCATCTCTACTAAAAATACAAAAATTAGCTGGGTGTAGTGATGCGCACCTGTAATCCCAGCTACTCCGGAGGCTGAGGCAGGAGAAGTGGTTCAACCAGGGAGGTGGACGTTGCAGTGAGCTGAGATCGTGCCACTGCACTCCAGCCTGGGCAACAAAGCAAGACTCTGTCTCAAATAAATAAATAAAATGCATGTTGGGCTTGTCGTGTGTTCTATTTATTTATTTATTGAGACAGATCCTCTGGAACAGAGAAAATGTTCATCATCCATGGAGTCCCTGGTATCTCAGCAAATTTTTCATGGTATCCACAGGCCAAAAAAAAAATGCCTAACACTTCCATATATAAAGTAGTTAGGTCCAAACAATCACCGCAAAGCCAGCTTTGCAAAGATGTAAAATCCTAAGCAGGAACGCAGCCAAGATCTCAGGCTGGAAATGTGAGCTGTTGCAAACTAGCGCTTCACGTGGAGTTCACAGTCTTGAGGGTCTGCCGCATTTGAGAATGAGGCACGTGTGAGTTTGTTGCAGTGCCCTGGCAGTTTGGGAGCCACTTCTGCTATACCAAATACTGTGATGGGAAAACTCCAAATGTCTCGACTGACCACTCTCTTCCAGGTCAGGTGGTCCCTACAGGCACTCCGAGGAGGTTCTGGGAGCCTGTGTGAGCCTTCCGCCCTGAAAGGTCTTTCATCTCGAGTGTAAACCTTCAGCAAAAGGAACAGGGGACAAGGCAGAGCTCATGGGGCCAAACTCAGTTCGGTCCGCAACCTCAAACAAGAACTAGACCAGGCTCTTGCCACAGCCCCGCCACACCAGCTGGCTGAGATCCTAGACATACCCCTTACCAACAGAAGGCTTTGATGTGCTCATCTATAAAATCAGGCACAGAGCTGGGTGCGGTGGCTCACGCCTGTAATCCCAGCACTTTGGGAGGATAAGGCGGGCAAGGTGCTTGAGCTCAAGAGTTTCAGACTAGCCTGGGCAACATGGCAAAACCCCACTTCTACCACAAAGTACAAAAACTAGCCAGGCTTGATGTTGTGCGCCTGTAGTCCCAGCTATGTGGCAGGCTGAGGTGGGAGGATCGCTTGAGCCCAGGAGGTTGAGGCTGCGGTGAGCCATGCTCGCATCACTGCACCCTAGTCTAAGCAACAGGGTGAGATCCTGTCTCAAAAAAGAAGAGGCACAGAAAAAGGCATATGTCAAAATAGTAGCCAAACAGATCTCCCTTAGAGAAGATCTGACTTGATTTATTATTATAGATTAGGTCTCTATGTAAGTTTTCATTATTAAATACAACAGACGGAGAAGGGTAAAACTAGGCATTTATAGCTTGACCACAACTCCTTGTCTATTTCAGTAGCTGGCTGGTTCCCGCCAAGGTAGCGATCAAGGGCAGCAGCTCCAGTCTTGCATACCACCAAGCAAGACTGGACAAATAAACCAGGGGGCACACAGGCCGGGGACACTGGAGGGAGCTTCACCAGCTTCTCTAAGGGAGAATGACGCAAGAACACAGGGGCTGTCTGTGTAACCGTTTGCGACACTGGAACAGGTTATCTTCCAGAAGTGTTTGCAGTTTTGCATTTACTGTTTGCAATTTCTGGTCAGTAAACAAGATTGAACAGCCAGCTCGGCACCGATATTGGGGTCAGACACCCCAATCAAAGCAGTAAGAAGGAAGGAAGGAGAAACCATGTAATTTACTTAGCCCTTCAGCTGACTGTCACTGGCATGTCACAGCCCCCTACACAAGGCTCTGGCATCCACCCTCTGACCACAGGGGGAGCAGGTTTATTCGGGTTTACAGACCCCCTCGGGCAAGGTTTAGTGGCTTCAAGATGAGGGAAAACCCTCGCAGAACCATACCCTACTGCTGCCTAACAGCTCAACCGCCAGAGACTGAGAGGTACTCAGGGAACACTACACTCTCCAGGGTGACCTGTTAAAAAGCGGTGTCCAAGAGTAACTCAGATACACACAGCTGGAGTGCCCAGGAAGTGTATTATCCATACTGAGATGTTGGTGTAGATTTCCTTTTTCTTTTTTTTTGAGACAGTTTCACTCTTGTTGCCCAGGCTGGAGTGCAATTTCAGCTCACCACACCTCCGCCTCCTGGGTTCACACAATTCTCCTGCCTCAGCCTCCTGAGTAGCTGGGATTACAGGCATGTGCTGCCACACTCGGCTAATTTTGTATTTTTAGTAGAGACAGGGTTTCTCCGTGTTGGTCAGCCTAGTCTCGAACTCCCAACCTCAGGTGATCCACCTGCCTAGGCCTTCCAAAATGCTAGGATTACAGGCGTGAGCCACCGCACCTGGCCTGGTGTAGATTTCTTTGTGTTTATCTTGTGTGGGGTTCGCTAACCTTCTTGAATCTGTAGATTTATGTCTTTTGCCAAATATAGCAACTTTTCAGCCTTTTTTTCGTTTTTTGGAGATGTCATGGCACAATCATGGTTCACTGCAGCCTCAACTTCCTGGGCTCAAGGGATTCTCCTAACTCAGCCTCCTGAGTAGCTGGGACTACAGGCGTGCCTCACCACACCTGGCTAATTTTTGTATTTTTAGTAGAGATGGGGTTTTCCCATGTTGCCCATTCTGGTATCGAACCGCTGGGCTTCTGCCCGCCTCTGCCTCCCAAAGTGCTGGGATTATAGGAGTGAGCCACCATGCCCGGCCGCCATTGTTTTTTAAATTACTTTTCAGCCCCACCCTCTCTCTCTCCTCCTGGGACTTCGGGGTGACATGAAAGGTAGACCTTTTGTTATTAGTCCCACCAAATCCTGAGGCGTTGTTCATTTGTTTTGTTTTGTAAATCTAGTTTCTGTCGTTGGGTTTAGGTAATTTCTACTGTTCTAACTTCAAGTTCACGGATTCTCTCTCGTGTCTTCTCCATTCTGCTGTGGAGCCATCCATTTGGTTGCCTATTCTGGCTCTTGTATGTTTCGGTTCTGAGACATCCATTTGGTTCTTCTTTACGTCTTGTTTAATTCCAGCATCTGTGTCATCTTGATGCTGGGTCTGTTTAACTGTCTTTTCTCATTCAAGTTGAGAGTTTTGTGGCTCTTGGTATAGTGACTGATTTTTATTGTACCCTGGGCATTCTCAATACTTTAAGATCCTGAATCTTATTTAAATCTTCTCATTCTATTTTATTTTATTTTCAAGACAGTCTCTCTTACCCTGGCTGGAGTGTAACTGCATGATCTCAGCTCACTGCTACCTCTGCCTCCCAGGTTCAAGTGAATCTCATGCCTCAGCTATCCGAGCAGCTGTGATTATAGGCCCATGCCACCACACCTGGCTAATTTATGTTTTTGTATTTTTAGTAGAGACAGGGTCTCACCATGTTGTCGGGGCTGGTCTCAACTCCTGGCCTCAAGTGATCCACCCACCTTGGCCTCCCAAAGTGTTGGGATTACAGCTGTGAGCCACACCCGGACTCTTTTATTTTATTAAATATTCTCTGTCACCCTGCTGGTAGGGAAGGAAGGTATTGATTCACTGCTGTCAGGCAAGATTCAGCCTTCCTCCTGGGCCTCTGCTGACAAACCCCAGCCTGGAGACAGAAGAGTACCTCATTATTACTCCCCAGATGGTCTCCACTGACACACTGGGTGGGGCTTCCTGTTTCTGCCAGGTGGTGAAGTCCTGACTTGCACTGGGTCCTCCTCTGTCATTTCCAAAGAAAGTAGGTTTCCTTGCTTCCTTGAAGAGTTGAGATGTCCTTGGCTATTTTTTTTAATTTGATAATTTTCCCTCCTGCAAATTTCTCTTAAAAGATGTCGCAGGTATGAAATAAGACGGAGCCACAGGAGCAGCACAGCCCTTTGGACTTCCCTGCAATTTCTATACCATTCACTCGTATCTTGGAAGCATTTAGAGGGAAGCCACTAAGAGGGTTTAAGAGCGCAACGCCTTGGCTCTTGATGAGTCTAAAGACATGACCAATACTTCTCCGCTGCTTACTTGGAAAGTCAATACCAAGTTTGAAGAATTAGCCTGTAACAACTACAAATAAGAGCATTTTCACAGAAGTTAAGGAAACTTCAGTACAGTCTGAAATGGAATCTGCTTAGATGTGTTATAACGAATGTGAGGGACAAAAAAGGCTTGGCTGGAGCCTGTGGTTGTTCACTGTGTTATTCTCCAGCAGACCCTATGCAAGAAGTGTGAACCGGCCAGGCGTGGTGGCTCAAGCCTGTAATCCCAGCACTTTGGGAGGCCGAGGCGGGTGGATCATGAGGTCAAGAGATCGAGACTATCTTGGTCAACATGGTGAAACCCCGTCTCTACTAAAAGTACAAAAAAATTAGCTGGGCACGGTGGCGCATGCCTGTAATCCCAGCTACTCAGGAGGCTGAGGCAGCAGAATTGCCTGAACCCAGGAGGCGGAGGTTGCGGTGAGCCGAGATCGCGCCATTGCACTCCAGCCTGGGTAACGAGCGAAACTCCATCTCAAAAAAAAAAAAAAAAAAAAAAAAAAGAAGTGTGAACCTACTATATGTGATTGAACAAGGGAATGTCGACAGGATCTGCCTCTTGTGGACTTAAGCTAAGTCAGTCTTATGAATTTTTGCCAAAAATAGAAGCTGAATATCCTAACTGTCCTACCATAGGGAAGTTCAGCAGCCTAGCAGTGGTCAAGTCTGGTGTGACTAGTTTGAGCTCAGAGTGAATACTAAAACTTTTCTAAACAAGAAGAACTGAAAAAGTATGGCCCTCTCATTCTAAAAAAAAAAAAAAAGAAGGACAAGAAAAAAGAAAAGAAAAGGAAGAACTGCCCTCAACCACTATTACCAAATACGAAATGGCTTTGGAAATTAGCTTTTGCTGCAGACTTGATGTTTATTAATGAGGACAACCTAAAATTATAAGGCAAAAGAGCAGTTATGTGCAGAACTTATACTGCAGTAAAGTCATTTCAATGAAATTGACATTGTATGAATCACAAGTAATGTCAACAATGAGTCATGCCAAGGGTAAAACAGGCAAGAAAACTTTGCATTTTTTTGAGCTCAAACCATAGTTCTAGCCCTAGCAGTGTTCCTCAGATCTTGATCTGTGTAAGAAGCAAATTTCCATATTCAAAAATCCCTTTAACTGTGCAGTGCAACTGAGGAGCTCTCACCTAACCTTCAGTTGGAGGTGGCTGGTCTGCAGTGTAATAATGCAAAAAGGCAAATATCAAGAGGGGAACCTAAAAAAAACTCTTTAAATACTACCTTCCAGTGATGAATATGCTCCATTAAAGTGTATGCTCCTGATTAATGTAACTTGGCAGTGCCTATTTGTGTGAAAAGTTATTTTCAGCCGGACGCGGTGGCTTACGCCTGTAATCCAAGCACTTTGGAGGCCAAGGCGGCCGGATCACCTGAGGTCGGGAGTTCAAGACCAGCCTGACCAACATGGTGAAACCCCATCTTAAAAAAAAATTACAAAGAAAAAGAAAAAAAGAAAAGATATTTTCAAAGCTGTAACCTATACAATCTCATTACAGATGAGCGCTGACAGGTGGGTATTTGCAGCGGATTTTGATGTTTGGGAACACTAACTCAAAACCCCAATGAAACAAAATGGTTTTCTGGTTTTTTTTTTGAGACTTAGTCATGCTCTGTCACCCAGACAGTGGTGCAGTGGCACAATCACAGCTCACTGCAGCCTCAACCTTCTGGGTTCAAGTAATCTTGTCACCTCAGTCTCCACAGTAGTCGGGACTACAGGCACATACTACCATGCCCGCCTAATTTTTTCTATTTTTTTGTAGAGACAAGGTTTAGCCATGTTGCCGAGGCTAGTCTCAAACTCCTGGACTCAAGTGATCCTCCCAACTCAGGCTTGAAGGGTGGTGCTGGGATTACAGGTGTGAGCCATGGCATCGGGCCCAAAATTGTTATCCGTACAAAAATGATTCCATTCTTATTAATAAACTTGTATTAAAAACCTATACCCAATTGCTATGTGTTATTATTTGAATTTCTTTTTTAAGAAATATATTTTAAAATATAGAGATGGAGTCTGGCTGATTGCAAACACCTGGGCTCAAGCAATTCTCCCACTTTGGCCTCCCAAAGTATTGGAAGTACACTGTGTGAACCACCGCACCCAGCCTTATTTGAATTTCATCAACAAAAAATGTGGAAACTTGTTGCCTCTCCTGTTATGTGCAATATCCTAGCTTTTAGCTCTTGGGATGCAAAGCCTAAAATATTTACTACCTGGCCTCTGACGGAAAATAGTTACTAGCGCCTACTCTAGATAACCGACGTGCACCTAGTTAACGGGAGCTCTGCACTGATTGGACAGTCTAGATGCCACAGGCTCTGGTTGTAGGAGTCTGGCAGGTTACTTGACCTCCCAGGCCTCAGGTTTCTTCTCCATAAAGCAATATAGAGATGGTCACCAAAGATTATCCTCAGCTCTAAAACGCTACACAGCTAGAGAAACACTTCTGGAATATGTGAACCATGTCCATGCTGGCTGGAGTCCATGCAGGGTTCCTTTTGTAGATGACTCAGCCATCGTGTCGCTGTACAACGTACTCAGGGCTTAATGAGGCAGGAGAGGCTGCTTGCACCCAGAGGGAACCCAGGCTGTGGATCTTAGGTTCCTGCATCTTTTTGGTTTGTTTGTTTTTAGAGACATGGTCTCACTCCATCACCCCGGCTGGAGAGCAGTAGCATAATCACAGTCCATTGCAGCCTCAAATTCCTGGGCTCAAGCAATCCTCCCACCTCGGCCTCCCAAAGTCCTGGGATTCCAGGTGAGAGCCACCATGCCCAGCCCCTGCTGGGATTCACTCAGGTGGCAAAATATTAAGGGAAATATTAGAGAAAGTTGTAAGATTATAGTCTCAAACCTTTGGAAGACTGAAAGGTTTTCATGGGACAGGCTGAAGGCAGACAGTTCTTACTTTAAAGCATTAGGTCCTAGGGCGAAGATTAGGGATAACAGAAGCTTCCCCAGTTAAGTAGGTTTACCCCACATTCCTTTGTCTCTGTTTTACTTATGTAAACCTTGTGCTGGATGGTCCTCTCGGGGGAGATCGAAGGGGAATTATCCATTAATGGCATTTGCTCTGGGGCCCGGAAACACAACCTTTTATCATTCGTAAAACCACTCTTTTAACCGTGTTAATTATCCACAAGCCTACTGACTTAGAACCTCTATTATTAAATCTACACTGAATAAAGCAAGGAGAAACAGCTAGCAAGGGGCTGGGTGGCTGTAACCACCCTCTGAGAGCAGCTGATGACCTCCCTAGCCTACTCGCTCACTGTGTCTAGTATGTGAGTGTATTTCCTTCATCCGTCTCAGAGTCGGGGTTTGCAGGACAGACCCCCACAGGCGGTGACCCCGACATGATCAACGCTGCAGGCCCTTGCGTCTTTGTTGTTGACGGTGTTTGCCTTGTCTTGTGGCAGGATGACTCTCATCATTATAAGAGTGCCTATATTTTTTCAAAAGTCTCTCACCCACTTCAGATTGGCTGCTTTGAATCTGTATAAATGAGAAATCAGCTGTTTGTTAGCATGATATGTAAGATAAGAGTAAGCCAGGCACAGTGGCTCATGCCTGTAATCCCAGCACTTTGGGAGGCCGAGGCGGGTGGATCTCCTGAGGTCAGAAGTTTGAGACCAGCCTGGCCAACATGGCAAAACTCCATCTCTACCAAAAATACAAAAATGATTAGCCAGGGGTGGTGTCGCATGCCTGTCATCCCAGGTACCTGGGAGGCTGAGGCAGGGCTAGGTGCAGGAGCTCACGCCTGTAATCCCAACACTTTGGGAGGCCAAGGCGGGTGGATCACTTGAGGTCAGGAGTTCAAGACCAGCCTGGGCAACATGGACAAAACCCCAGCTCTACTAAAAATACAAAAATTAGCCAGGTGTGGTGATGGGCCCCTGTAGTCCCAGCTACTCTGGAGGCTGAGGCAGGAGAATCACTTGCACCCAGGAGGCGAAGGCTGCAGTAAGTCAAGATTGTGCCGCTGCACTCCAGACTGGGGAATAGAATGAGACTCTGTCTTGAAAAAAAAAAAAATAATAAAAGAGTAAAGAGGTTCTTTGAAGACTAGCAACTTCTGTATTAAAAAAAAAAAGACTATTTGAGTAGGGCCTGCAGGGCCCTCTTATACACAGACTTTGTGAAATCCATTCCAGAAACCTGGAGTCGCTTCCAGATTCTTAGCTGGCGGGAGATGTGTTCTGAAAGCCTCACAAGCTACTGCTCTGTGTGGCTGAAGACGCTGAGCACTCCCACCAAAGCAGGCCTGGAACATGTACCAGGCCTCCACTGGCCTGTGGCGCCCAAAGCACTAAGGGTTCCAGGGAGCGCAAGGCAGGCAGGCTCCTGATCTCAGAGAGCTTACAGCCTGGAAGAGCCTCTGGACAATGTTCAGGTACAAAAATGTCATGTCAAAGGACTTGCGTCTGCCACTCTATGTCCATGCATGCAGTAAACAGCTGAGGAGCACCTGCTGCATGCCAGGAACTGTGCAGGTTCAGGTGGGGCGGACACTCCAACTTTGCCCTGAAGAGCTCTCCTGTTGTGAGAAAGGGCAGACCTATCCCAATGGGCACAGCTGCTCAGCAAGGCCAGGCATAGGGGAAACAGAGCTGGCAGGAAAAAGCAGGCATGACCCTCTGAAACAGTCAAGGAAGGGGTGCCCAGAGGCCAACATCTGGGACTGTGAAGAATGACCAGGGTCCACCAGTCAGATAAGGAGGATGAGCGAAGCTACCAAGAGAGTCTGCACCAAGGCCTAGAACATGGAAAACTCAGAGTCTGGGGTAACTCAAGTGGGTCAATCCCATGGTGCAAGGGGATGTACAGATGGCAAGTAAGAGATAAACATTCATTCATTCAGTGAACAGGGTCTTGCTGTCACCAAGGCTGGAGTGCTGTGATGTGAT